GAGTGATAGACGCACGATACGGTAATTAACACTAGGTGAATATATAAGAAGAGAGAGTAACATGTTAGCTAACAACAAATGATATGATAAGTAAGAACAGCAAACAGAAACAATCATTCCACACAACGGTGACAGTAGATAGTGATGAATACACGTTCAACCAGGGTTGTCACAATCACTTATTCCTGTTCATTCATTTTTGAGTTCCCAATTCCCAACGAATTCCCGACTCCTGGGAACTTGGACACTTCTGTAGAAGTTTCCTTGTATGGCTAGCAATCCACTTTCTAGCGTCTTATATACTTTTTACACTTTGATTCTTCAAGCAAAGTGTACGAAACCATGATGCTCAAAACTAGCGTAGTGTATTTGTACATTCTATTTCAGATTTCTATTAGGAACACTGACCTACAGAAAAGCGAAAAAAATACACAGTGACGAGCGCATATATGAAAAAACACTATTTTCTTACTGAAAATGATATGGTTCATTGATTCAAGCAAAGAAAAGTAAGTGGTAAAAAAAGCAATCAATTTTGTTAACGATAAATACAATTTACAAGTCATTGCAAACATATCTGAAAAAAACCTCACACTCCAACACAATTTACTATGTAAGTATATTTTAGCTTCAACCTTATTAGGCTAATTAAGTTGAAGATAGCGGAATTCGAGAAATATTCAATGTAGAAATGCTAAATACCCTGTTATTTAACTTAAATGCTCATAGATTAAGTTATATAGAAAAATAATCGTGAATGATTTTTCACCTGAAGATATTAGTTTTTAATAAAATATTAAGCTTTCTACGTATATTTAACTGTTGAGTTTTCTTTCAAACATCCATTTGATTTAAGAGACAGATAAAATAAAATGCTGAATCTATTAACCTCATGAATACCGAGTATGCGAAACGCATATTCACACAACGAAAATATTTTCCAATTCGAGAAATGGCGATTAGCGTATTGAAAGATATAAGCAATTCAAGAATCCATACGACATGCTGATAAAATATAGAACGTAAGACAGCTCATGCATATCGACAGAACGCAAGGGAGAGGACATTTCATATTTTATCCTGTCTTTGCACAGAACGCAAAAATCATCGGTATTCATGAGGTTAAAAAGAAACTTCACTTCGAAAGAATGAAAACTACAAATCTGCGAATTAATTGTCAAAGCATGTGAAAACTATTTAGTCTTTAACTAGTATTATGACTAAGGTATTAGTGCTGGAAAAACTAGTTCTAAGTAGGTAGTAGAGAATTTTATTTGGCTATCAACTAGAAAGTGAGTCTTTCTCGGAAGTCATTATCAATTGAGTGAGATTAGGACCTGCAGAATACTAAAGAAGCACATTTCAGATTTTAGGAAACTCACAAGAGTTCTATTGTATAAGTATTTAATTTTTCAAAATATCACCGAATTCCGAATTCTGCTGGGTAGGAAAATCTGCAAATGCTGCATCAGTGATAGCTTAGTCGTATAAAAGAATACTTCTTAGTTATTCATTGCATTAATTCATTCTTTCTTACATTAGCAAAAGGCTCTCAAATACATACAAGATGGATAAAAGCAAATCCTCCACAGCTAGCAGCGCAACTTGTGCCGAATACAGTGCAAATGTGTTTTCAGTAGTATCAAAACAAGCCATTACTAGCGCCACTGTTGAAACTTCCTCAGAAGACTTTCGGGCACGACCAAGAAGAATCGTGCAAGATTTCCTTTTAGTATGGCTCGATGCTAATATTGATGAAGGAAAGGAAGATTTTCAAAAGTCGCTGGCACAGCTTCGAAAAATTTTCGTGACAGTAGAACCTTTTACTGACGTTGACCAATGTGTTGATTACCTAACAAGTATAGATGATCAGAAAATTTATTTAATTACCTCTGTGTCACTTGGCCAAACGACAGTGCCACTTATACATGACATAGCTCAACTTGATACGATCTTTGTTTTCTGCTCAAACAAAGATGAGCACAAATTTTGGGCGAATGAATGTTCGAAAGTAAGAGGTATTTACGACTCACGATGCCATTCATCAAGGACATTCGCATATACGGATAATAGAGAATTTCTCAGACCTCAATTGACTATCTGAAATTCAATTTTCGGAAATCAAGAAGGTGTTTAAAATCTTCTTAAGTGACGATGCGTGTACTAAAAGCTAATAAGTTCGAAACGATAATGCATAAATAATATCAGAGATTTTTATATGTGAGACAGAACAATTCGAAAATGTTATTTCTCTAGAATAACGTGGTATTCGGAGTGCAATATATTTTGATTATTTGTAGTATTATTTCAAAAGAGAAAGACATCAGCTGTTTTTGTATAAACATCCTCGACCTAAATCTCAGTATATAAACCACTCACTTATTTAGATTCATGTATTTTTATTGAAGTTAGAAATATAAACCGTATGATAAATTATGTAAAAATGACTATTTCATCTTTCGTCGCCAGCTTGCTCACAGTGAAATACGTTCGGCATAAAATGTTCCTAAATCTTTAATTTTGATTTGTCGAATAAATATTGCAAAGTAGAAATAAATAATGCTACTCAATACTTGCGCAAATAGACACCATAGCGGCTATTGATTGAAGAATCAATTGTCTGTTAAGTAGTAGAATAAAATCATTTAAAGTTTTAAATACATCAATGAAGAGCTCAAGAAAGTTGCAAAGCTTTTAAGGCAACACAAAAAATTCTAAAACTCACGCTACCGAGCCATGAATAAACGTATATGTAGATAGTCATGAGAGAATCGAATGAAAGAACGCAAGAGATGTGCTTGAAAGCGTTTGGAACTCCGTGGGTATCATTTGAGAGACTCTGGTTAGTATTTTATCATTAAAAAGTGGTGAATGCTCGTGATGAAATGATATTGATAATAAATTTGATTGGGAAATCAAATACAGTGATGACGTTTACGAAAAAACATGTAGATATTCTTAATAAATATCATCAAATACAGCCTATATGCATGCAACTAACAAAGGCGACACAGCCATGCGACCATGATGCAATACCGATGAGCTTCATAACAGAGCAAGAAATATCAGAAGCATCAGCCAACGAACAAAATCTTGATCGATTACCGCCATCTTACATGTACTCGGTGATTTTCAAGGATATAATATTAGAAATCGATGACGATGACACCAAATCTATGAATACTTTAGTGAACTTTTGCCAACAACAAAAAATTTGTGAAAAAGACATAGATGAATTTAAGCGTATGTACTACGAAAGCTCAGCAGTCTGGTGGTATACGAAACCAATGTTTCTCTATGGTATGCTTAACCGTGCTTTGCGAATGCTTGATATGGAGGTGATGACAAAATTCGGATTTTTTATTCGACGTTTACATATTGAGCTGAAGCAATTGCACCAGGAACAGTTGGCAGATTTACAGAAAGTGTCTACCGTGTATCGTGGCCAAGGGCTCAGTCAACAAGACGTTCAACATCTGGTTGATACAAAAGGTGGTCTACTATCTTTCAACAATTTCTTATCGACTAGTAAAGATAGAGACTTCTCTATTATGTTTGCTGAAAGTGCGTCGAGTGCCGAGACCGATACTGTAGGCGTCCTTTTTATTATGAGTATCGATCAAACTAAAATATCAACTTCAATTACACCATTTGCAATGATCGATAACGAGAGTGCTTTTCAATCGGAAGACGAAATACTATTTACAATGCACACTGTGTTTCGTGTTGGTGAAATTAAACAGACGCCTGAGAATAGTCGGCTTTGGGAAGTGCAATTGACTATTACTGACGAAAGTGATCCACAACTTGCTGGTCTTACTGATCGCATCAAAGAGGAAATCGATGGTCGAGGATGGTATCGAATGGGTAAATTGATGCTCCGAGTGGGCCATTTCAATCAAGCTGAAGAACTCTACAATGAATTACTCGAGGATGCTTCCAATGATAGTGATAGGGCATTTATCTATCACCAGCTTGGAGATGTAAAAAAGAATCAAGGAAAATACAATGAGGCAGTTTCTTTTTATGAAAACTCTTACAGTATCAAGCGGAAAAGTCTTCCAGAAGATCATCTGGGCTTAGCTATTTTTTACAACAACATTGGTCAACTGTATAATAAAATGGGTGATTACTCAAAAGCACTTGAATTCTACGAGAAAACACTGGGATTAAATGGAAAAGGTCTGCCTCCAAACCATCCAGATTTGGCCACTTCTTATAATAGCATAGGATCGGTATATGAAAACATGGCAGACTATTCGAAGGCACTCTTGCTTTATGAAAAAAGTCTCGCTATCCGTAAAGAAGTGCTCCCTCCGAATCATCCTGATGTAGGTGACTCATACGATAACATTGCTGGCCTGTACGAAGTCAGAGGCGAGTACTCTAAAGCACTTGAGTATTACGAAAAAGCGTTTAAGATTTACCAACGGGTACTGCCACCAAATCATCCACGATTAGCAGCTTCTTATGCGCTCATTGGCTCTGTTTATGACAACTTTGGCGACTACGAAAAAGCACTTCAGTTTTACGACAAAGACCTTCACATCTGCCAGTTAGCTTTTCATTCCAACCATCCTGATTTGGCCAATTGTTACAGCTACCTCGGTTCGGTATTTGACAGAATGGGTCAATATTCAAAAGCACTCGAGTACTACGAAAAAGTATTTCGGATTTACCAGCAGGCATTACCATCAAATCATCCTCAGATGGTTTCTTATTATAGTAATATTGCTTTGACATACAAGAACATGGGTCAGCATGAAACGTCTCTGAAGCACTATGAAATAGCACTGGAAATTGCATGTGCCATTCTACAAGCAAACCATCCTGAATTGGCAACTTTATATAATAACATGGGTTCAGTGTATTTTAGCATGAATGGTTTTCCAAAAGCACTAAAATTTTACAAAAAAGCACTCAAAATCCGTAAGAAAGTACTGTTAAGAAATCATCCCGATCTGGCAGCTTCTTACAACAACCTTGGTGTGGTTCATACCGAGTTGAATGAGTTAAAAAGTGCCCGACAATACTATTTGAAAGTACTTAAAATCTATGAAGAAAGAAATGTTACAAACCACCCTAATTTGGCTGCTTCCTACAATAACCTCGGTTATGTACATGAAAAAAAGGGTGAACACTCAAAAGCAAATTAATATTATGAAGAAGCTCACAAAATTCAAGAAGTAACTCTGCCTCCAGAACATCTTCACGTGGCTATTACCTGCGACAATGTGGGAACAAGTCGCGAAAAAATGGGCGAGCATGCAAAAGCATTGAAATTTCATGAAAAGGCAATCACTATCCGTCGAAAAGCTCTGCCTTTGGACCATCCTGATCTAGCTGCTTCCTACAAAATTGTAAATATGACGCATTGGACGGTGAATGAAGTCAGTGGGTGGTTGGAATTAAACGGTTTTCAAAAATACGTGCAAGTTTTCAAAGGTAAACACTGTTCGAAATTATAGATAATGTAAAACTCATACATATCAATGCTTCAACATATTTTGGTACGTTATAAGAACTAATTTTAAACTGTGTTTTTGTCAGTACGATTTCAGTTGAATTCATGTCGCTCGAATGTTAGGCCGAGTTCGAATTCGAATTCGTTCCGTACTTCCATGCCAAATATTAGCGACTTTCAAAGTAACAAAGAGTAAGCTTCGGTTCATTGGACATGTTTTCAGTACGTTTAGCTTTTCAGAATCGATAAAATAAGTAATGAAAGATAATTTTAGGAACTCATAATTACT